CTGGGAGAAGTATACTCCAAATAAAAATTGTTCACGCTGACTCTGTCGCCACATAAGGCTCTTCCTAGGAACAGTAATATTTTGCTCCCAGTGCTGCTCATCACTTCACCTGCAGTTCTTAGAATCAGCGCAGTACAAAACAATTCAGAAGACCTCAACCCATGCACCACACTAGCTGAAACCTTCAAGTCGACTGTGAGAAATGAAAGCAGTCTTAGGAGACCTAAATACATTAATTAAATTTAATAGAAAACGTGGCTAAACTTCACCTGCTCCACACATCTCAAGTAATCACTAGTTGGGTCTCTAACCAAGGGCACATCCTATTTTAAGGTTCAAATTTTTGCTAGCCCTCTCTTGTGCAGCTCCTCATCCTGTCCCTGTGGAACTGACAGTGTCCTGCATCCATGCACAGGGCACCAGCCAGCTAAGGAAGCACAAAGAAGCACTGTCTCCAACTTACTCCACCTTTCCAAAAATGAGATGCACCATGAGACACAGGCACCACACGTCCCCCTCTTGCTTTTATCCTCAGTTCTTTTCCTCCAAGCACTGCTCTTTTACAGTGAAGAGTCTCTGGAAAGTGATGAAGTAATTATAAAATTAATACATGCGAAATTAGAATAATACAGTGAGATGCAAGCCTGTCCAACTATAATGAATGCTTAATAGTTAGAATAAGCTATTAATTTTGCCAAAGTTGCAGTAATAGCTAGCATAACATGAACTGCAAATATTTAAACATCACCAGAAAATGAGTAATGAAATATAGATTCACACAGATTTATGAAGACTGTTACTGAAATACTATGTTCTCTTTTTAAGTGTAAAACTTGGTAATTAAATTCAAATGTGCGGAAGGATGTGAGGGCTTACTCCTATTTGATCTAACAGTGACTTTATTAGGAATCGGGCAGAGAAGAGGGCAGCAGGTTTTCCAGCAGACAGCCATCGGCACAGCCTTGGAGAGCAAGGAAACCCAAGCACCAACTGCCATTACGCTGCAAACACCAGAAGGGCTCTAACAGTTAAAAGGAAACACCGCATAAATTCTCAGCTTAAAAGATGCATATTAATTACACTAAAGAGGCAACTTCTCACAACACTGTCAGTATTTCACATACTTAAACAAAGCCTGTTCCAGTGGCAGCGATGAGAAATCCCTATTTATCCAACCCAGGATGAGAACAGAGTCAGATCCCTGTTCACACAGGCCGCAGCAGGACGGCAGAGGAGCTGCACAGTTTGACTGCAGCACCTATGAAGTGCTGAGCCTCTCTTCTGAGACTGCTGATAGCATGTTCACACCAGGCCAACCACACCCCACACTGCTGGGCTGAGCAGCCTCAGCTCCGTACCCACATTCAAGGCCAGGCTGGATGTGGCTCTGGGCAGCCTGGTCTGGTGGTTGGTGACCCTGCACATAGCAGGGGGGTTGAAACTAGATGATCATCATGGTCCTTTTCAATCCAGGCCATTCTGTGATTCTATGGTTTGATTCTATGATCTGCCTGACAGGAGGTCTGCACGCCTGCACTGCCATGCACAGACCTGGCTACAGCATACAGATGCACAAGGAGGAGCTCAAACTCTCCTGCAGTGCAGCAGCCACCTTCCCATGCCATGCAGGCTGCTTCAGGCTGCAACCAGCACTCCAGGAAGGCCCCAGGGCCCAGCACAGCCCTCCCTGTTGGGGAAACAACACCACCAGGCCTGCAGCCAGCACTGCATGGGAGCGCTGCCTTCCCGCTCTATTGTTGTGCCCTTTTCCGCACAGTCACACAGAGGCGTATCGCATGCATGCAGGTGGAAAAATCACACACTGGAAACAGGAAACAGCATTTCCAACAGGCAGCAATTTATGCTAGTGAGGGAGGAATGAATCCTGCGCTGGGCAGTACTGCTACTTGCCACTTGGGGAGCACTGCAACAGCTAGTGCTGAGTCATTAGTCCCGGCTCACCTGGAGCAAAGCCCTGCGCGCAGGGAGCAACCTCCGCCGGCAACCTCAGGTGTGAGAGCCCTCTGCCAGCCTCCAGCACGGCACTGCGCTGCAAAGGATGCAGCACTGCAAGCAGCTAAAGATCCAGGCAAGTTTTATAAGGAGTTACAATCTAATAGTATTCTACCTGCTGGAATTAAATCTATTCCAGGTGGGCCCATGCTACTGGAAGGATGGATGTGCTCCACCAGGAACAAGGCAGCATCCTACAGCAGAAGCACGGCACTGGAAGGAGCGATTTTATCTAAATGTGCCTCACAGAAGGCACCAGAGCTGCACATCCCTAACTGAGCTTGCAGCCAGTGCCTCCTTCAGCCAGGCCCCTGCAATCTAACTTACAATCCTTGGCAGTTTGTTGGATGCTCTTTAGTCCTAGATTAACAAAAAAGGAAACATACATGCAAACACGGAACAAATACAGCCTTTTTCATTGCTCATTACCAATAAAGCCTGAACAATAGCCCTGTGGTTCAGTGCTTTCTCACCCAGGCTGCAGGACACTGCTGACCAACCGGAGGAAGTCAGCGCTACCGGCATCAAAGAGCACAGCGACAGCACAGACCTGCGGCCAGGAGGGGCACATCCTGCAGCCTGTCACTGTGCTTCAGCACACGGCCGTGCTATTTTGGAGCACACGTGTTATGGTGTAGGAGGCGGAGGTGGGGAGGAAAGACAACCCCTGTTCATGTTCGCATGCTATGAAAAAAATGTTCTGGCACAAATATCTTCTTTGGTGTTTCTGCAAAAAGACACAAAGGCAGTGTTTTGAAAGAGAGCTCCAAACACATTTAGAAGAATTGCTGCAAATAAAGGGGTACAAAAGATTCTTAAAAAACACCTTCAAATCCTTTTTTAATTGCAAGCGCTGACTGACAGAGACTGCTGCAGTCCTGTATTAGGACACATTATAGAATAAACCCTCACTTTGGTGTCTTATTCCTGCATCCTATTGTCAATGTCACACCTTCCTCTTGATCTTATATTTAAGAATCATACTGTAACAACAACAGAGCTGATAACAGTCTGCTTCTTCTACCCCCCTGCATTCTGACCAGGGCCTTTCCCCACTCCTGGTGCTGTGGAACCCGGCCCATGGTCTCACCTTACCAGCACTGCTGCCCTGAGTTTTCCATGCACAGCAACACAGCTGACATCTGTCAGTGTGCATCGACTCGCTCCGTGCAGAGCGATGCTCTGCAAATAAATGTCACTATTTGCAAAGGTGAGAAAATCACAGCTGCCACATTGCTAGGCAATGTGCCATCACAAACTGCAGGACGGGGATTTCTTAGGGCAGAAGTTACTCGGTGAAAGCTTCAAATGGGCCCTTCCTGAATGAAGGACAGCGGTCAGCACTCCTGTCAGGAAGGACCGTAGGGCAGAATTTATGGCCAAGGCAGATGAAGGCTATCTGCAGCATTAAGCCTGTCTGAACATTAATATTTAAGCACACATTAAAACTAAGCCATTTGCTACTTGCAGCTAGTCAAGCTGTGCTTTACATTACAAGGAATATATGTTGCTGACTGAAGGTTGGGCACGGAAAACCTCTGTGGTTGGTGGAATTAACATCAGTGGCTCCCGATGGCGGAGGCCAGGCAGGCTGACCCAGCAGCACTGCCCCAACAAGCAGCAGCTAGCCTGGTTCTGTACCTGCTGTGCTGAAAGCAAAGCCCTGAACCACAACCGCAATCTCACTGCTGATCAGCACCAACTGAGGACACGCTTTTTGCCCACCCGAGTTTGGATTTGTCTTCTGGTTGGAAGTAACCTTACTTGTATCCAGAATAAGACAAAAATCAGCCCTTAACATAAACAGTATTGGAACAACAGTTTACTTCTTAAGCATGTTTGATTCTGCTGCCATAACAACATGCAAACACTTCAGCTTACCACAAGGACAAATTCATTCCAGCCAGCATTTATTACCAGGCTTTTTTGATGAGCCCACTCTGCACTGTTAGTCCTGATGTATTTATTGCTAAAACCGGGTAGAGACGTCCCCTAAGCGTAAAGCATTACACGAAAGCCTTTTAGATAATGAGCAGTTTAACCAGGCGCCAGCAAATAAATCACTATTTTTAAATAAAGGCTGTTGGCCAGGTACCATACGAAGCTGTGAGAACCTCTGACTCCGGGAGCATAAATAAACTTGCCGAATGCTTACTGGTAATCCCTGAGCGTTGTATTACAGCAGCACTATCTGTCAGGTTACAACCCTGGCATTTCAATGCCAGCAGTAACTCAAACCCGTCCGAAATCTTTATTTAACAAAAAAACGGAGTTCTGCGCAGGCAGACCGCGCACAGCGAACGCGCCTCGGAGGCTGGCGGCGTTATTACGGCGCTCACCACAAAGAACGCGGCCGGGATCGCCGCCGAGCCCGCGGTTTCCCCGGACGGAGATGCCACAGCCCCGCGCTCCCTGACAGCCGCGCGTCCCGCAGCGCCTCGGGGCCGGATCTCACCGGGCAGCGGCCCCGCGCTACGTCAGCTGGAAAACCTTCTCCTTCCACCCCACCTCCGCGGAGGCCGAGGCCCCTCCCGACGCCCGCTTTCCCTTCTCCCCCCTCCCTCCCGCTCCTTCGGGCCCGCCCGGGCGGCCGCGGCGGCCCACGCCCTGCGGGGAAGGTCAGCCCGGGGGAAGAGCGGGGCCGAGCCGCCGGGAGCCGGGCCCCGCGGCCGGCCGCCCCCCGCTCCTCTCCGCGCACTTTCCCCTCGGGCCGCCCTCGGCCCCGCAGCGCCGCCCGCGGCACGGGGTGGGCGCGGGCGGCGGGGGCAGAGGCCCGGGGCGGCGGGGAGCCCGCGGGGCCGGGAGCCGGGAGCCGCCTCTCCGCCCGGCCCCGCCCGGGGATGCGGGGAGGCCGCGGCGCTGAAGGACATTTTCGCGGCGGCGCCCGGCCCCGGCCAACGGAAAATGGCTGCCGCCGGAGCGGGGCCTGCGAGCGGCGGATCCGCGGGGCCGGAGCGGGGCGGCGGCGGAGGGCGGCGGCTGCGTACCTTTGAATTTGAGCTCGTGCTGCGGTTCGAGGCTGAGGACCTGCTCCGCTTTCGCCATGTTCCTCCTCCTCCTCGGCGGTGGCGGCACCAGGCGGAGAGAGGAAGGGCCGGGGAGGGAGGGGAAGGAAGGAAGGAAGGGGGGAGGGAGGAAAGGAGGGCGGGCGGGGCGGTGCGCCCGGGCGCTGCGCTTCTCCCGCCGCCGAGCGGCCCTGAAGCGGCGAAAGGAGCGGCGGAGCGGAGCGGGGCCGAGCGGAGGGCGGCGGGCGGCACTCGGCGCTGTGCGAGGGACGCGGGCGGAAGGGCGGCGCGGGGCGGGGATGGCGCAGCGCGGAGCGGCGCGGGGCTGCGGATGGCGCGTGCACCGCCGCGGGGATGGGGGCGGATCCCGCCGCGCTGGGGCGGGCGGAGGGCGGGGGGACCGCGGGGAGCCGGGCTGGGAGCTCGGTGCGCCCGAGCGGGGCGAGGGCGGGAGGGGGAGCGAGAGCCCGCGAGGTTCAGTTATCACCGAAAATGCCCGCTTCCGGGCGTGCGGGTGACCGGCCGGCTGGTTCAGCCCGCGGTTCCGTGCGCGCAGTGTGCGCCGTTCGGAGCCCCGGGCGTGGCAGTGCCCGGAGCTGCGCTGCGGGGCCGCCCGTGACTCAGCTGCTCCGGGAGCTCCTCCACGGTGAGGGAGAGGAACGACGACGGGGCGAGCAGCGCCAGAGAGCGGCTCTGCACGCAGCGAGATCCGAAGGCAGCGAGGGCACGAGCGCAGGGCCGGGGCGTTACGGGACCGGGGAAGCGCTACTGCGAGCCGGTGCTGTCATCGAGCGCTGGGAAACGCTAACTTGGCCATGAATAAAAGCACACTTAAAAGTCGGTAGTGGTTTTAAGGCTCTCCAACAGTAAATGCTAGAAAACACCAGTTTTGTTTTTTTTTTAACTCTCTGTAAGATGACTTAAATTTACAGGTTGGTTTAAGACGAAGTGCTGCTTTACTGGTGGCCTTAGGCCAGGGCAGCACAGCAGCAACGCTTGGATCCATCGTACCCACTGCTCTTAAACATTCCCAAAGTTCGTAAGAATCCAGGAACTGTTTCTGTAACACGTCAGGGCGGGCTGTGCTGGTGGAGCAGAGCTCAGGAAGACCAAGGCTTTAAGGTCCTAAAACCTGATCGCTTGGAGACAAGTTAAAAATAGCTTATATACACACAAAAAATGTTTATTAGGCTGTTGCACTTGGGATCCATGGGACTGCAGAGGGGATGATACCACATTTGCAGGGACTAAAAGCAATCCTATCCGCATAGAAAATGTTTCAAAGGATACTAAGTATTACACTACTCAGTTATGTTAGAGCAAGCCCTAACAGCAACTGGTTTACCAAAAAAAGCCAGAAAATGGATAAAAAGATCTGGAATAAAAGGGCTGTTGGCACTGCTGTCAATGGAAGCAATGACAAATGACTGATGGACATGTTAAAATTAACACCACTAAATGGGACGATGACATTCAACGCTGTGAGGAAGTCTGCACAGTATGTCTGCAGTATTTATACCACATCAACACTTCAGCTGCTCTTGTCCATGAGAGCCTGTATTTTTCATCTAGTGTGATTTACAAACGTGTTTTGTCCTTCATGGTTGTTGCAACTGCTTTCATTCCACACCAAAACAGTATAACCCCTGTATATATTTCATATCACTCTTCATTTTACACGATGCAAATGAAACTTGGTATCACTTTCTAGCCAATAAATGCGTCAGGAGTTGTTAGAAGTTTCAGCCATGGGTAGCAACACGCTGAAATACGTGTGCTGCTGTTCTTCCTTAACTTCCTTCTCTGTGCTGGAGAAAAGGTGGCCACAATGCCATAAATGGAACTTGATTTTTTTTCTTGTTTTTATTTATTTATTTATTTTTACACCTGTGCTATTCTACTTAATTAGATTTGGAGCCTAGGATGTCCTTATTAATTTTGCTATTTTGAGGGGTCTAATTTATGCTATAAACTACAGATTATGTCATAACATTTTATTAGATGTCAAGAAGTAATTCAGTTCATTCGTGCTTTGGAGCAGAGCTTTTTCTTGGCCGATATTCTGGAAACATTATCTTCTTCCATATAATCTCTTAGATTGTTTTATTTTTATAAACAGATTCCCTCACTGAGCTATAAAACATAGCTGTCCATAAACATTCCAAGTAATTGGTAGAAAGAGATAAGCTTTATATACGTATCTGCAAGTTAATTGGAACTTAATGAGGAATAAGACAGAGGAAACCTTATACAACGTATAGTCATACATAATAAAATTCCCCAAAGTAAACAACAGCTCAGCATTGCTGCCTGCACCCTTCCATGTTCTGCTTTTTCTAGCAGTATAAAGTGCAGCCTTAAGCGTTGGATGATAAAGGGTATGCCAGGCTGGATCACCTTACAAAAGCAGATTGCACTGAGCAGCTCTGAACTTACCTACTTGGATAGCGAGGATTCCCTGTTTTCATTCATGCTGAAACATATATAGAACACAGCAAGTTATTTTATGCAAAGTTAACAACTTACCAAGTCTAATGAAAGTAGTTCTTTGGTTGTATGTAAATGTGCACGCAGTCACTATTGTTCAGATCAGAGTAACTGAAATGGATATGCATCACAAAACCACCTGCAATGCTCCACCTTCTCAGTTAACAAAACAACCTTTGTCTCCTTAACAGTTCAGCCACTCCAAGGCTGAAATGCACATGTTGCCAACGTGCATTTCTGATTAACAGGAGGAGCAAATCCAGAGGAACACCACTGGGAAACTCTGAAGGGCATTAAGGAAGCTTTGGACTGTAGCAGTTTTAAAGAATGCTTCTCTTTTACTTTAAAATCTATGGAAGTGTCTATCCACATTAAATGAAAACCAGGAATACAAGAATTTCAGGTAAAGGAGCAGTATTAGGAATGGGATCTTTTGGGGCTCATGCTTTTGAAGGCTGCTGTTAACATGTTAAATTGCATCACACTGAAACAATAAAACTACATCTTTTAATCATTACCCAAGACAAGGGAGAGAACTCTAGCCAAGTCTATATTTTTGTGCTGTACATAGCCAAAGCAGTTCAAAGCAACCACAAAGAAAAAAGGAAGCAAGCAACCAGCTAGCTGTACCAGCAAATCAGAATGGAACCCTTTCCAGCATAACAGCCCCCCTGAACACTGTGCAAATATTAAAAGCAATTCACATTTCTGATTGACAGAAATCTGGCCTAAGCAGTCAAGAATTCAACTTTTGATGCAGTCTAAGCTAAAGGCAATGTATTAAATAACTTGATCCCATTAGAATTTGTCAGGCCTTGCACAAGCTGACAAGGCTGTGTGTGGCCTGCAGTTCCTCAGACATCACGCTGCAAAGAAAGGAAGCATGAGACAAAAGCTGCATTCTCTCTGCCATTTTTTCTCCATCCCTTTCTGTGCAAGCTTGTCTTTTGTCTGTGTATACATAAACCATGGAAAAGCTTCAGCTTCTGAATGATCGCTAGTGATAGCTTTTGGAAAACAGCTATTTGAACTATTGCTTACATTCACTTTGCAGTGGTATTGCTTAACATTCCTCTTCTACAATTCTATCACTACAGAGACTACTTCTGACAACACTGAGAATTTCAGAACCACTCAAACAAGGCATTTATAAACAAAGCTTTTTATTAATAAAATGTTTACACCTTTTTTGCACAATACATCGGACTGGTAGTGATTTAGCATGTTATTACACTATAAAAGTTTATTATGAATGCATAAGCTGAAAATGCCGTTTACATTATGCCAAACCAACATTTCTTAATTTTCATTCTACGCACTACATGGGAGTATAACAATACAAACTAAAAGGAGAAAACTAAAGTCTGGTTTTCCTCATTAGCATCTACAAACCAACAATACAGACAAACCTGTACACGCCCTCGGGACCAGCCCAAGAGAAGACTAGAAAAGTCTCAGAACATTCATTAGCTTGGGAACTCATCACTGTAAGATTTCATCACTCGTGATCTGACTACGTTTCATGCAGTGAAGCAATGGTAGTAAATTTGTGCAGTTTACAGTGCTGCAAATGCTCTGTAACTTCGAGCGGCTTTAGTTTGTTTCAGTAAGAGACACTACAATAAGAAGGCACAGATCCTTCCATCTTTTTAAAGGTTAACTCAATACCATAAGGAAAAGGCAGATCGTTCTTAAGAAGGACAAGAACTGCTGATTCCAAAGTTAACCTCCACGCTTAATTTTACAGGCATGCATTTATTACACCACAAGAGCTAAATGCACATCAGGTTATTCTTGTGCCCCGAATACACAAATGCAAATGTAAAGTTTTTGTTTAGACACTTCCAGAATGATTCCCTTTTTTCTTCATCATATTGGGGGATGGGAGGGTGCAAGGGGGAAGATCGCCAAGAACTCTTAGGTGTCTTACGGCTAAATATTCTCCACTTATGACACTGTGCCACAGTTTCAATGCTGGATGCACTATATTCAGAAATACCAAGCACAAAAGAAGTTAATCGTTTCTATACTTCACCTGGTACTGTTTGGGCTTTACAATGATTTACTTCCTCCAGATGAAAGTGCTTTTTGCCCTCTTATCTAGTATAGTGAAGCAGTGCTACGTCTCAGCTGCTATGATTTCTTAACAATTTCATAAAGCTATCTAAAGATGACCATTTTGTTCACGAATATTTGCTGCTATAACAGATATTTTCAAACTCTTGAGGAGAAAAAGACACTTGTCACCTTTTCTTGGCTAGATCCCAGAAGAAAACAAAGAATAAATAGTAAAAAAACCATAATGGATTTAATAATAGGAAATTCACACTGTGACAGAAGTGAAAATGAGGCAAGAAAGCAGCAGTGAATTTATCAATGGTTTGAGATGCAGCAAACCTAAGCACAACAACTGGATGGTGTCTTCTCTCCATACAAATGAAAAGAACAGCAGAAAAGCTTGTCTGTATCCTTCAGCATTAGAACAGGAACAGCTGTTGGTTTGTTCAGTAATTTGTGTTTAAAAACACTGACAGGAATGAAACAAAGAAAAACCCAATTTTCTTGAATAAAACAGTTAGTGTTTCAGCAAAAATGCAAAGCTCCCAACTTGCAGGATGATGCAATGGGAAGAGCAGAACCATTTCTTCTAGGAATTTTCTGTTTTGGAATAAGGGCAGTTTCAGTAAACGCTGTACCAATCTTTAGGGGGCCAAACTCATCTTAGTGCCTTGATTTTCCATGCAAAATAGGAGGCATTAAATAACTCTGAGCTACTAGAAC